ATGTATGTATGTATGTATGTATGTATGTATGTATGTATGTATGTATGTATGTATGTATGTATGTATGTATGTATGTATGTATGTATGTATGTATGTATGTATGTATGTATGTATGTATGTATGTATGTATGTATGTATGTATGTATGTTGTATGTATGTTGTATGTATGTATGTATGTATGTATGTATGTATGTATGTATGTATGTATGTATGTATGTATGTATGTATGTATGTATGTATGTATGTATGTATGTATCTTTGTATCTTTGTATCTATGTATCTTTGTATCTACGTATGCAAATGTGTATATATGGGTTATATGTATATCATATATATATATATATATCACCCTTGAAATTCGCCCCAAGAGGTCAGGGGATTTGCAAAACACATAATGGCAATGGGTAGGTCGGGTAGGTGCAGGTAAAAGTTTCTCCCTACAAAATGGCTGGCTTTTGTTCAGAAAAAAAAAGTCTGAGACTGCACCTCTCTTTTTGTAGGGATAAATAAATTTTGCCCAGAGTTCTGATTTCTATCTTCTGAATATGAGCCTTGCTTGTACGCTTGGAACCTGATCCCCAAAAAGGAACTCATTTTGTAAGAAAATGCTGCTCTGCCATCTCCCTGCATTTTCCTCACTTAGCCCTCAGTTGTCTTGAAGGATCAACCCATCCGTTTTGTAAGGAAATGAGTTTATTATGGTTTAATTATATACTTATATTTGCTGCCGTTTTTTGTTGCAATGTTGACACAGAGTGAAGCTTTTTGTGTCTTCTTAGACAATGAAGGGGTGTCACCACATAAGCCCTGCAAAATGATCGGGCGCACCATGCGCACTAAATGCACCACCAATTGTTAGTTTCCCTCCATCACTTTCCATATCTACAAAGATCTCCTAAATAGATCTACATATTAATTCAAGTCTTACATGGTCTTACAAAGTGCTTGGGCGACTTGTACAAAGGAACACCGTACATCATACCATCCTGGTAAGTAACACCCTTCAAACTGCATTTTGAGATTGTTATATGATAGTTCTGATAGTGATTTTATGCCTAAATCATATGTGTTGATGCTCTTACAATATGGCATGCAAATCCCTACAAAATGACCTCTCAAATAGGGTGTGAACCCTTCAAAATTAGTCAACAATCAATGATGCTACAAAATGGCTGGCTTCGGGAACGTGATTTACTACAAAATGACCCTAGATTCCGGTTTTTGGGGCCTTGGGATACCCATTCTGTGAAATTTCAACGGGGTTCTGATATGAATTGGTGATGTATAGGATATATGATGATATATGTAAGGCTTACTTGGAGATCACCCCACGACAAGTGATTTTTCTTGATTTGCGGTAGTTATGAGCCACTTATACAGAAATAAAGCCATGAATGGGGACTTATCAGGGTTGTTAACCAGTTTCCAAGTGGGATGATACCTGGCCCAACTATGCTGGGGTATGCTGGGATATAGCAAGCCAACAAATCGGCTATGGATGGGTTATAACCATAACCACATATAACCACAGATTAAACATTGAAATCCATTGCATTGCAACTATATACTATAATTAAGTAGGTTTAAGTAGGCTTATAACTATCATATCTGCCATCAATTGAATTTCATGTCTTGTGGTGGAAAATACAACACAAAATAGGGTGCTCAAAACAAGGAAAAGAAACAAACACGAATTGCGGTAGTTACTTGGAACGCTCCAATGTGCGGTTTCTTTACCAGCCTGGAAAGTTCACCATTCAGGATCATCATCATCATCATCATCGTCATCGTCATCGTCATCGTCATCATCCATTAATAATCATCAACCATTACTCATCAACAACCATCAACCATCTGGGCAAATGATCATAATGCATTAACCTGAAATAGGACCATATTGGGATAATTCCCCTATACATTCACCACTATTCCAGTGAGGTCGCAGTGAGGTCGTTAAAATTTACCCAGAACCATGAAAATAATTATATAAAATATATATATATAGTACTAACCATACTAAGCACATCATCATCGCTTGCTTTTCTCGAACGGGCCGCTGGTCCAAGTCGATTGCATCTCCCGCCTAAGACACGTCGACTGAAGAGTGTCCCCATGGGGTGAGCCACAGAAATAACGGGGTACCCTCCAAATAGCGAGAATATGATATTGAGATGATATAATATAGTGTAATAATATAACATAATATAATATAATGTAAAATATAATATTACCCACAGTTGCCGTGTGTTGCCCAGGCATTAACACTGAGAATGTCGTGCTTTCGAATATATGATAGGAGAGATTGCAGAAAATACTGCGTATACGCAGTGTTTTCCAGTTTAGGATTCAAAGTTTTCAGAGTCTAGTTTTTAGGGTTTAGGGTTTTAGGGTTTGGGGTTTTAGGTTTTTGGATGGTTTAGGGTTTTAGGGTTTAGGGTTCGTCGTCTGGGAAATCTCAAAACACTGGCCCTGCGCAGGTGTTTGAGCATGTTGAAGGATAATGTTTAAACATGTTTAAACGCCATTTGAACCTTCCGGCCAACACACAGCGCCTGGCCGCAATATTATAATATGATACTTAATTGGTATTCCGCCAATTAAACAGCCTGCGGGGTTGTTAATCCAAGGTTAACATTCCCGCAATGGATCCAGCCGTACCTTCTCAGGAATTACATTTCTCCGTTTCAACGGCCGCGTCATCTGAAGTATGCAGTATATTGCAGTATTTCAAAGGATTGGTTTAAGGGAAAATCTACAGGAAACCATAGAATTTCCGATTAAATATGGGGTTTTCCTGTAAATTTTCCCTTAAACCAATCCATTGAGTATTACTTTCACAAAGTTGGGTGTGTCCTTCTTTCTTGAAAGCACTAGATTTTCCCTTGAAGAATCTCATTTCAAAGATCCAGTATTTCACTGAAAAAATGTATCCTTTACAAAGTTTTTTTTTGTCATCTGAAGTATGCAGTATGTCAGTCTTCCAAGAGTTGAGTACCCTCTGGTAAACTAACGGTCACCATTTCTAATAGGCAAATCAACTATAAATCAACTATAAATTGCCATTTTCGATAGCTATGTTAGTTTACTAGAGGATATGTAAGGAAGCAGTACTTCTAAAAGAAACAGTATGCCTTACAGAACTGCGGAGCTCTTAAGCACCTCTTTTAAAGGCAGGAATTCTCTTCAAATGATGCTGTATAGTTGTTTCAACGATCACGTATTTCTTGGAAAAAAACACAATTTCTTCATGAAACCGCAGTGTTCTTTCAATGAACAAGTTGGTTTTAGTTTGCAGATCCAGTCATTGTTTGGTCCAGCTACTTCCCTACAAAGATGGGAGCATTCATTGAACAATGAAAATTGCCATGCGACCATACCATGATCGTCCGAGCTCCTGTGTTCCCAATCATTGCTTCATGTTTTTTGTCTCAATATTTGTGTTAACACACTTTCGTGGGGATGCCATCGTCGTTCCGAACAAATCCAATGTTATAAATCTTTGATGCCCGTCCAAGTGGGTTAACATCCAATGTTTGATGTTTTAATCAATCGAAATCCACCTAGACCGAAATCATTCAACCTGACATTCACATTTGCGAGCTCTCCATACACGGTTTTCCAGTTTTGTTTCTTGGTCTATAAACCCATTGACTAGTTCGTTATATCCCCCAATCAACGCCCTCACCTTGTAATCATTAACCAATCATTAGCCTTGTCAACCATGAATGGCCATTAATATTAGGCTTAATTAACCATTTAATGGCCATAAAAAGCAATGAATGGCCATTCAGTGGCCATTCAATGGCCATTCAATCATTCACATCACCACTGACGATTTTCAACCAAGCTGCAGGCAGAGGACCCAAGGACTGAGCTCTGTCCATCACCTTCCTGACGAGACAGACATCGGGTCACCCTGCCGCCCACTGCAACGATGTTTGAAAAACAGGTTTTTCCGCACAGTTGGCTTGGTGAAGTCTAGGCTTTGTGGAGGATTTTACATATGGAAACATATGGTAGTTCCCTAAAATGGGGGTACCCCAAAATTGATGGTTTATAAATGGGAAATCCTACTAAAATGGATGATTTAGAGGTACGGGATACCCCCATTTTAGGATGTTTAATGGGGTGATAAACCAACAAACATAACTGGGGGGTCTTCACCGCCTTGTACTGTCTTGAATCATTAGCTAAGGGATATTAGGAAGGGATTAGCAACTTGTCAACAAGTTGCAGTTTCGCCTTGAAGATTGGGAAAATAAACCCCACTTAGTAGACATATTCCCAGGACCAGATTTCAGCCAGGAAAAGACTGAGTTTGGTCAAAAATAAAGTCTTCTTCATGCTTCGTGGCCCAACATATGTTGACTCATCAAAAAAGTATCCATTGGTTCTTGTATGTTCTTCTGATTCTCTTCCGACTTTGTCGATGCAATCCTCATTATGTGTTGCTTAAAGATCCCGTTTCGATTGCTCAATGTTTGCTGGTCCGAATCCAACTTCATTTGGTGAAGAGTCTCCCATCTTCATTGATTCAAGTACTGTAATGTTGGCAATGTCACTTGGGCAACTCGTCCCACACTCCCAACCGCGCTTGCGCTTGACGACCAGTTTCCTCCTCTGTGAAATTGGCACCCTGAAAGTAGCGCCAGATCGTCTCTCTTTCGCTTCCAATCGAGCCCTGAGCTGAGAAGGAATTCTTCCCAAACTCTGGGAGAATGACATCTGAATTGGTGAAAAATAAGAAAGTAAGATGATCAAACATAGCCTCTGGTAACATAGCTATGGAAGCCATGGCCCATAGATATTCATAGATCAAACGTTCCGAAACATGGTGAGTTTCCAGGTCAAAATTTTGGGCCTGTCCGATGCAGGTGAGGTAAATTTCAGAACTACCATCGTGAAAACACCGTTTGGCATATTTTTGGGAGTTGCGATAAATGATCATGAAGTTCTGGTTGATGTGAGCTGCTCACAAAACCACCACTATCATGATAGTGGGCCCATTTCAGGATTCCATCAATCCATGGATGTGATTCCCAACAATGGCTGAACGCAATCTTTCTGTTGTTTCAATCCAAGTTCGGATCATCCCAGTATTCTCTGGAAAACTAAAACCCTGTGAGGGTGAAAGCCTCTTTGCTGATGGTGAAACCCAACATGTTGATATTATATGTTGCTTAAAGTCAAACCTCCATGGTCAATCTCCGATACCTGAAAACAATGTCCATCCTTTATCTGGTTAGGTTATATACAGTACATGGATAAATAATAGTGATCGACTAGTGGTTTGGGATAGTTACCCCCTACATGCAAACTATTATTCCAGTGACGTCGCAGTTATATGTCCTTGGGATATTTTATCCTTCCATTTATAGCCACAAAGCAACCCTTTCACACCTCCATACTCAATCAAGAGGTTTACCCAGATTCACTCTAAAAACAAAAACTCTGGGAACAAGAACATATATCCCATGGGATATAAATGTCATGTGCTTCTTTATCACTAGGAAAAAATGAAAAGGTACCTGGGTCCCGGCTGTGCCAAGAATCCGGTCTTTGGCCTGCTCAAAGACCACTTGCGCCCAGTTGTCCTCGAAGCTTGTCATGGTGGTAACCGCCAAGCCTGACCTGTGAAAAATCTGAGCGTTGACCAATCAACAAAACAACGACATAGATAGATAGATAGATAGATAGATAGATAGATAGATAGATAGATAGATAGATGGATAGATAGATTGATTGATTGATTGATTGATTGATTGGTTGATTAGATTAGATTAGATTAAATTAGATAAGATCAGATAAGATTAGATAAGATTAGGTAAGATAAGGTAATATTAGATAATATAAGATTAGATTAGATAAGGTTAGATAAGATTTGATTAGATTAAGATAACATTAGGTAAGATAAGACAAGATTAGGTAAGATAAGGTAAGATAAGATTAGATAAGATCAAATACGATTAGATAAGATAGATAGGATAATATAAGATGAAATAAGATAAAAATAAAATAAGATAGATGGATGGATGGATTGATTGATCTATATTAATATATACATAATGGTTTGTAAAAAAAATATGTTCATTCATATATCTGATATATATATATATAAAATCATCTGTTTATTTGTATTTCTTTCTTTAGATAATATGTATATATATATACAAAATAATATGTATATATATATATATACGTATACATGTATGCATACATACATATATATATATATATTACTTTATATTTGAGTATATATATATATATGTATATATATATATATTTGAGTATATATATATATATGTATCCATATACTGGTCAACCCGCAAAAATGGCAATGTTGAGTATATTGTTTTCAGGTACCGTCATCCGATGCAATTTTGAGCCATTCCTATATTGGAAAAAAGGCAATGGAAGGAAACAAAAACATTTTAATATGGGCGATTTCAAAATGGTACCCCATCTTGATGGGTAAGTACCTTTATGTAATTTGTATATGTATTTTTGATATTTTTTGATGGTGACCGGGCCCGTCGACATGCCAGACGAACCCAGGAAATATAAAGCGACCTTCGCAATATAAACCTTTAAGCCGCCAACGTCACTTGGTTTTTGGATGTTTCTTGATGGTTGTTGCATGGTATGGTTTTGAGCATTAGACTGTAGACATCCCAAACGAGGTGAGACCGCCATGGGAAAACTCCATGAGAAAACGAACATTCATTTGACATAGACACCCCAAACTTTGTTTTCATAATGGTACTCTTGGAAATAACATGACAGGACCCTCATAGAGTGTGGATCCTCTGACCGCTGGTAATTTTTACAGTTGGCTATGGAAGCCATGGCCCATTGATGTACATGGTCATGGTGACCTTCCAGTTCGCGAACAGTGAAAAATTACCAAGTGGTGTGGTGCCCAGTGTGAGCACCATGCATCCTCATTCTTCATATCGATTCGCCATTGGTCACATACCACGTGCATGACATACAGGCCTCCGGTGTCGACGCTTCTTATCTTGTGCGGCTTCTACCTTGGGAAATCCCGCATTAGGCGAACTGAACACGTAAGGATTGGCAAACAACAACGGACATATGTTGAATATGTTGAAAGTCGGAAAACGGAAGAATGGTGGAAACTGCAAGCCAAAAAATCAGGGAAATAGAAATTATCTTAATTTCCTTTATGATAAATTCCCATTAAACATCATTAAAAATGTTGGTCTTCCATATGTTGAATTACCAAAGGGTTATCAATCCCAAAAACTCCTACAATCGAGCGCAGGGAGTGCCAAGACATTGGGGACGCATTTTTTGGATGGAAATCAACTCCCAAAAATCATAAAAATGCGTAGTGAATTTCAGGGGCCTTAAATTTTGACTTACACAAATATTGAAAAATGATTATAAGATATTATAAGTGGATGATCCATAAAATGAGAACTAAATCACCAGCGTTCCTGCACGCAGCATACCCAAGGCCTCTTCATCAACGGGCTACCTAAACCTTGACCTATCCCTGGATAAATGATAATGACTAGGAGGCTTTTTGATAAATAAATATAATTTATTGATTAATGATTAATGATAAAACACCCTTGCCCTTGACATGATGATAATGATTTACTAATCTGAAATAAGGTGTTTTTGTTGGGATGATACCTCAAAACCACCCATCATTTCGGACGCGACAATCTCCTCGCGACAATGCTCCTTGCCCAGTGGTGTCCCAAAGCCCGACCACTGATTGGAGTTATGTAGAAACCAACTTAGCAAACATAAATCAATATGAATTCACTCCCCTGTCTCAGTGGTTCCCCATAAACTCTTTGGTGAAATCATCTTATATATATATATAGATCCTGTTACAGTAAATCATGCTACTGTAAATCCTCAATTTTTCAGGTTTCCCATGGTTTCCCCACTTTTTGGCGTCTCAGAATCCCCAGCAAAGTAGTATAAGTATAAGTCCCTAGTTCGTAACCAATCAATCAGGGTATTTTGTTCATGGCTCAGGTGTTCTTACTGGTGCTTAGCAGGGAATGAGGGAATGATCCACAATAACTATCAATAATCATCCCATTCCCCCATTCCCATCCATTCCCTACTAAGCACCGGTAAGTGTGCTTTTAGACCCCCCAATCTCCATGACCCGCCTGTTTCAGGTCCGTCGTTGTCTCAACTGACGCGCCGCATCCCATGTCCTCGGCAGAGATCTTCTTTTGCAAACCACAACACAGAAATGCAGAGATCCATTCCATAATTGACATGTGTTTACAGGAGTTTATGCTTATATAATAGGATGTTAAACTGTTGTTAATAGGATCGAAAAACAACAAGTATATATATACTGTGCTAATCTGTGCTATCTCTTTGGGCTTTATCATGTAGTGTGCGCTCTGTGTTTCCATGCGTCAATATTCAAATAAATTCATGGTGGAAGAAAATGAACTTATAATTTCTGTGTGTCCTCTATGTATCTAGTGACCTTCATGTCTGTCTCTAATTGTCATTTATCTCTTGAAATATGTGCATCTATCTATCAAGATGTGTGTATAATCTGTATGTATGATATGTATGTTTTTGGTCAAGTGTGAGTGTGTGTGTGTGTCTGTGTCTGTGGGAGTCAAACCCTGTTCCTAAGGGCGTTTCTCTTTGCGGTTTTCTTAGTTAAATTTCGAAACAGGGGGGCTGTCTACGCCACACAAGGGACAATCCAACGAAGAGGCTTCTGTGGCGGCACTGATATCAGTGAGGACGCTCATTGACTTACCTGTGACGAAACTGCTTCCTTTTTCAACTTGTTTTCAACATCATTTTCTGGTCTCATGGCAAGGTGGCCAAACCAAAAACCACCCATGTCGCTTGCGACAACATAAGGCCTTCATGGGAATTTCCCCACAACCCAATCGAGTTACCAATCCAACCATCGACGACATGCGGTAGGAGAACCCCCCACCAAAGGTGAGCAAAAAAAATCCCTTTAACCAGCAATGGGATCGCTGGTTCACCGCAATGGGAAGCTCTTTGTCGAATCGAAATTGCTGTTGATCTTTTACCATTTGGCCATAGAACTCTTCAATTCCTCTCTATTTGTGGTCAAAATGGATCAAAATGGCAAACATCGCCGTCGGAAGAATTCTTGGGTACACAATCACTTGACCAATCAACAACTGATCTGGTTTGTTAGGTCATTTTCTGAGAATGACACTTGGTCAGAACATGTTTTTAGATCATGTGTAGTGACTAACCTGACCTAACAAAACCGAACCTGATTTTGCAGCCAAAGTCATAGTCTTGATGGTTTTCCAAACTATGTTATGTACAAATGATCACAAGTAAATATACAGATCATTCTTGAATTAGTAGCAATCATTTATGATGCAAAAAATAAGAAGCATATTTGGTGTTTGATGCAACCAAGCCACGTCCCGCTCTTCCCCGTTTCGCGTGGCGTTTCCGTGTTTCGGAGGAATGTCCCGAATCCTATTCGATCGGGATCCGAAACTGCAGGCGTTGTTTCAAGTAATGGTCAAGTGACGATTGCGGAGGTGATTTTGATGTGGGGGTTCCCGAGTCATGGGGGTACCCCAATAGCTCGATGTTTTTTTTCATGGAAAATACGACAATGAAATGGATAATTTTGGGGTAATTTCATTTTAGGAAACATCCATATGTTTTTTCTGCAGGGTACGCAAAATATCACCATAATTTTCCAAGCGGTCTCGAATTGCTACATTAGTTAACTACATTTAAAATCATTTAACCACTATAAGACTAGCACTTGTCCTGTAGGACTAACATGTTTTTCTTCAGGTAGGATCGAAAGGAGTTCCCGGAGGAAGCGTCCTATCGGAGCCCAGCATGAATCAAATTATGTGGCACGGGATGGCAAGGGACATCTCCAATGTCAACTGATATCAACTGATGTCAACTGGTTTCCGGATTAAGAACCTTGAGTTCCCATTGCCATGTTAGATTATTGAAAGGTAAACCAGCTGGAGGATTCTAGCTGAACATGGCCATTTAGTTCGTTGATTCACCCATTCAAAATTGTAATTTCCATAGCAAACTGTCAGTTTACCAGAGGGTAAAAAGTACCATTTGAGTGCTATGGGACACATATCAGGCCACTTTGGTGTGCCAGGCACACCATGTTTTTTACACATCACGATGTTTAATCGCTACGCCCTGTATGCAAATGACCGTTGTTTAATAGCTATGTTAGATCAGATGAATTATCCCATCCCACAAATCTCGTTGTAACATCCCATTGTAAGCACTTGATAAACAGTACAGTATACCATATTACCAGTACTGTTCCGTCATTTACGCAACATGTTTGCCACAAAAACTCCATTTATATAGTGGGGATTCCCCATTGCTGTATCTGTATATGTTTGATTACCGGAGGGTAAACCGGTAAACCCATGTAAAACCACCAGGTGACGAAACGTCAGGATCCGATTTTCCGTCAGCCAGCAATCCACAGATTGGGGCCGATGGCATTGGACCGAGACCTCTCTGAGTCTCCTCCAAAATGGTTTTGGAGCTCCAGCCATGGCCAAAGGACTGGGACGAGGGCCTTTGAATCCCTGCCCATCCCCTTGGCGGCCCTTGGCCACATGGCCACTACAAACGATCTCTGAATTCGAGAAGGGGACCATCTTACTGATCCGAAGTAACGGTCCATCACCGACCCAAATCCTGCACCCACAAGTTGTTTTCCGCCACCAGGGTGACTCTCATCCGCCCCAGACAGCCTCAAAATGGGATTAGATCATCCAGAAATTCTGGAGATGAAAAGCATTTTTCAATCAATTGGTCTATGCTATAGCTGCAGCACCAGCAAAGCTAGACTTATGTGGTTGGTGGTTTCAATCCCCAACAAATAAATCGAGTAGTCATCATCCAAAAATGGGGGCGGAATTAATATTCATATTTAAAGTTTTATAATAAAGACATATTGAAACGTATTGAATCCACCAGCCAGTTCTGCTTACAGCTTTCTATTCAAGCCCCGGTCAAAATTAACGATGACACCTGGACATCTGCTGATACCTCTGACGCAGGTCGCGAGGGCATCGAATCGGCGTAAAGACGAAGTTGTTGTTGTCAATGCCATGTGGTGGATGCGAGAAGTCCAAGTGATTGTGCGCACCATACTGATTGCCTAGCTGCTGAAAGGATGGGTGCTGGCCTCACTTAGCAAATGGCTTATACCCACAGTTAGATTAATGGTATATATATATATTATATGGGTTATAAGTTATAAGAATTATAAACCACTTACTAGTAGCAATTCGCATTGTTTTTCTCCCTAGAAACTCCCATGAGTTCCATGTGCGGCGTGCGTGCACAACTTGAGCGAGTCAGTGAGTCAGTTCACGGGATTTCACAAACCATGGCGAATGGGGGTTAACTATAACTTACCTATAACCCATGGGGAGTTCACAAACTTGGTTGTCTTTCTTAGCGAAGTTAGTTTTTCTACTTCCAATAACTTGTGGGTTTATGCTCTATACATATGCTTGATGGGGCTTATGAACAACTTGTAGCAACCAGGAACTTATTGGTGACTTCAACTCTCCTGAAAAAAAACTCATTGGGGACTATCATCCCAAAATGCAGTTGAAAATCAGAAAAGCATATGAAACCATCGACCAGACAAGTATGAAAAAGTAAGATATGTTATTGATTTATTTTGCAATTAAAAAATGAAGGAAACATTTTGCAACAAAGAAGAAAGGGGACGTCGTCCACCAACAAAACTCAGTGCCTAGCCAAGAGATGCTTGTCGAAAATTTCAAGAAACAACTGCTGGGTTTGAACATCAAATTGTGATACAGCGACCCCCCAAAAAAGATAGAATTCCGTGAAATCCGACCGAAATCAGGGGAAAATTGAACCTTTTCGATCTTTTTGGTGCCCAAAAAAGAAACATCAAACGAGAAAAGGAGGATTTCAAGCAACATCGGCGCTGGGTCAAGGTGCGTTCATCGGCACTGGCTTTGTCGGTTTTGTCCCAAAATTTCATGGAGAATCATGAGTTTTCCCATTGACGTCCAGTCAGGTCTACCCTCTGGTAAACATACAAAAAGCTATTGAAAATGGCCATAGAAAAAGTGGATTTACCCAGCTATAAAACAGTGATTTTCCATAGCAAACTGTCAGTTTACCATGACCATGTTTCAGACACACCCATGTCATTTTTCGAACAAACCATCCCAATTTTGGAGCGAAACATGTGACGATCGTCCAGGCAAAACACTGGTGAATCATCACGTTTCCGAAAAATTTATCGAAATGTCGGACAGGAAAAGTGGAACTTAAACCTTATTGAGTCACCATATAGGCATTTAAAGGTTTTTTAGCGTTCCAAATGTGACCGATCTTTCTACGGCTTGCGACAAAAAAGTTTCTGGAAACTAGTCAATTGATGTCGGGGATCATCGTCCCATGAGGCACCAGCAAACTATTTCTCGGTTTTCCCATGGTTTCCCTACCAAACTTCTTACAGAAACCCATTTCATTGATATCACTATGATATCATCAACCAACAAGGCTCAACTATAGTTGGCGATAAAATCTGACGTGAACCGAATCGAACTGGCAGCACAAATCCTCTCAATTGGATGATCAATGAAAATGGACTTTCAACCTCTATCCTCACTCTTTCCCCATCTTAGCACCGGTACCTTTTTTCACACCAAAGACTCCAAACTGGGCGGGGGAGAACGCAGCCTGCGCTGGGCCTAGTCCCATATCGTTGCTGGGGATAAACGTCCGTGTTTCTCCAAGTGACGTTGTCCGGGCCACTGCGGGCACCAGCGTTCATTGCCTCGAGCAGACCGAAACAGCAAGTTATATATCACTGTGTATCTATAATATTCTATAATGATGTATGGTAACACCCAAAAAAAACTCAAAGATTCAAGTTAATGCGGGTAAAACAATGTCATAAACCAGCCATGACTGGGAATGGTTGATATGTACCACCTATAAAAATGGTGATGACTGGGGGATGGTGCGTTTATGGCAGCCAGTTTTACCCACATTACTCAATGTGATTCTATCCTTTTTTGGGGATTGGGACTGGGTCACCCCAGTTGTGGCAACGGACACCGCAAGCCGGTGGTCGATTTCCAAGGTGAGGCCCGACAGGGTGACGTACGGTTCACAATCGGTGAACGTTTGGGTTGTTTCGGAGCTAAGGTGACGCACAGAACTCACTTGACGTTTGGGAACCAGGGAAATATCACGAACTAGTAGTTTTCATGGATGTCAAAAAGGGTTTTATAAACCAACAAAAACCAACAAAACCAACAAAAAACAACAAAATCTAGGCTTTATGAGAGATATAACTGATATAACCGTACTGTATGGCTTTATAAAGCAACAAACGCTGGGAGCCTCACCGACCGAGCACACCTGGCCTTGATCGTCATGGTGGATTCATGGATGAAACCAAGAATAAATGGTATATTTATTAAATACATGTAATTCATGTAATGTCATTTAATGGATGTTCTAATCATATTCTGATCATGGTATATTCCGAAGATTTCGGAAGTATTTGATTTGTTTATCTGCCTAGAAACTGGAGAAAGACTGTTTGTAGCAGTAGTTTTCTTCATAGATTGCAGTAACTCATAGAGATTTTCAACATGTTAAACCCCATTCAACAATTGCTTTCTTCAAATATGACTGACTTTGGATGATTTGGGGGTCCATCAAACATGAAGTCTGTAGTTCCCTGGCAGATGCTCATCCCGAGGTGGAAATTCATCGGTGAATGCGTTTGATACCCATATCATGTTCGAAAAAAAGATGCAACAATTACAGTATTATTACATATTATTTATATTATTATTATTGTTATTATTCACTTGATATTTCCCAAGAAATCCCAATGATAGCCATGGCATGCCATGGCTAGAAACTCGGCAGATCTCGCCTTGGTGAGGGCACAAATCAGCCACCACGACGACGATTTCCTTTGAGGCGAAGCCCGAACGATATGCGCTGCTGGGCGAATCCACGCCTCACCCGGCAGGCTTCAGTCGTGGCGTTGAATGACTTTCCACCATTGAAAAAAAACAGAAAAAAACAAAGTTGTTTTAGCATGTTTTAGCAAAGAAAATACGATATGTGATTTGAATCAGAGACAATTAAGATCAGTTAAAGTTTTGAAAAACTGGGTATATCGGTATATAGTTTTTTTTACACAAGAAAGAAGGAACTGTTCAAGCAACAAGAAATCGATGGATTGAAAGATAGATGTGAAACGGCAGATGGCGACGAAGGTAAGCGACACCTGGCTTAAATCCCTCACCATCTCATCTCGGCAAGAACCTGCATTGTTCTTGGTTTAGCAAATTTAACCCAAGTTTATCCACTTCAGCTCCAGTTTTCTGAAGAAAAAACAACTCCATTTTTCTTGGTTCAATCTCCAGTTTTTCTTGGTTTCACATTGATTTTCTTGGTTCGAACATGTTTTAACCATGTTTAACCTTCATTTTTTGTGGTTTACTCGTGGATTTCCCCACCCCGTTCGTTGCAGGTCGCCGTTGGTGGTCCGCAGGAAGCGTCCCTTGGCGCAGCTGAAGCATCCGAGGCCCATGGTGCCGCGCCCGCCGCCGGAGCCCTGGCACCAGCAGCAGCCTTTCCACATGGACTGCGCCGAGGCCACGGAATAATACGGAAGGCCTGCGCCGAGCGACGCGGAGGCGGATCGCCGAGTCGGATCGCCAAGTTGGTGAACTATGGTTGGATGTTAATGGTTAATGGTTATATGACTTCAACCAAGGAAATCCAATAACTACGGAAAGGAAGTAACTATGGTTTAATTAATAGCCAAAGAAATCCAATAACTATGGTTTATGATTGTTTATGATACTTATAACTATGGTTAATGGTGTTTATAAACCAACTTATAAGGAGCCGAGGGAGAAGGCAACGAAGAGGGGAAGAGAAGGACAGGATGGATATGAAATGATATGAATGGATATGATATCGGCACTTTTATGTGGGATAGGAGCAGAATGAGAGATGTATCTCGAGTGTATATGTTTTGGGTTTATGGTTTATGAATTAACTATTATTATTTCACTAATGGAATATGGGCGATGGGGATGATTGGGATGATTGGGATGATTGGGATGATTGGCATGATTGGGATGATGGCGATATGGGATTGGGGCAAGAATACTAGGGATAGTTTGTGGATGTTTGTGGGATAAATATGGATAAATGGTTGATAAATGAATGCTAAGGAAGGCCTCGAGAACGCACCATTAGGGTAGACTTAGGACTGAAAAGGGCAAACATGGGGACTTGGTTCATCAATTTATGTTAGCTAAGGTGGTTTGTGTCACTAATATATCTTAGAATTTGCATTTCTGGTAGATATATGCGGATATATCGAAGCTGTTATCCAATAGGAAGTCTAAATTAAAGATGGGGATAATGGTGGACATATGGCATTCGGGGCAAGAAAGGGGGAGACTGCAGTCTGCAGTGGGATAGTTGTGTTGATAAATGCGTAACCAACTGATGTAGACTGATATACATATAGAATTTAATTTAATGGTGATATTTCATCGGATATTAGAGGGATATAAGTAGTGAAAAAGGGGCTTGAACAAACCCCACTGGAGATGTCTTGAGGGACCGGCAATTTTTGGATGATAAATGCGTACAGTATAAACCCAATATTATTTGTATGGGAATAGTTTGTGGGATATACTGAAGAAATCTAGTACCACAAAAAATGAACCAAAAAATTGGAAACCTGGGAATTCTGGGGAAAGATCATCGCCATTTCATCCTGGAAACACGTTTCTATCTTTTGGGGGTCACACCATGAATTCCGTAGCAGATTCATCGTCCCTATTCAAACAATCAACAGGTGTTTTGATCACTGCTCAAACGGATCTTTTCATGAGGATTCTCGGAACTTTCCAGGTGTTATTGGACCGATTCTGTTTGACACCATGGTTTTCATTGGTACTCATTGGCAAAAACATTGGTTTACATTGTTTTTCACTCTTTTCATTGGTGTTCACTGTTCGTTATCAAATAATCCGAGTTGTGTGAGTCAACTTTGCGATTTCATCAACAGGGGTCTGCACTTGTAATTGAAGGATCATCCCTTTTAGTAGCTGGGGTTAGCAACCATACACATATATACATTGCCAATCTTAGATACTCTGCCAAAAAATAAATTGTTAGCAGGGTGGTAGATATTTCTATTTGTAGCAAAAGATTAAAGGATTAAATTTCCCATCCAAGGTTGACCTAGTATATATATATATATGTATACTTATAAAATGTTGTAACTTCTAGTTCCCCTCCATTGAATTAACAGTTCGACCCTGGCATAAACAGCAGGGTAGATGAGTTTCCACTAAAATGGCCAACATTTTCAGGGTCAAACTGTTTACCAGAGTTGATCCCATCATCCCCATATGAATTCCCAGGTTGACCATATATAATACTATAATATCTATAATACTTTAAAATGTTACCAATAGGCTAACCATAGTTGATCCCATCGTTCCGGGCCTCCAATCAATGCGCCTGTGTTCATTCCTCCGCAGGCCGCCGCTTTGGCATCGCCGTAGCGTGTCGTGGTGGCATAGGCCGCATAGCCGGCATAGCCTCCGTTGGGTCCAGAGATTTAACCGAAAGTGCCAGGTGAGGTACATGGGAATGGCTATTAATGATGGCTCATGGTTATGAAAAAGGCCTATGTATGAATAATGCTTCATGATGGTGAATAACGGAGTAACAATAATTACAATTCATTCAGTAATTCATACATGGATGGGTTATAGCATCTTGTAACTACATACAACTAACTGTCCTTGACCCGAGCTACTAAGTGGGATGATCCTTCAAGTAAAATGTGAGGCCCCCGTTTTCGATAGCGAAGTTGACGCACATAACTTGCTTAACTAGGTTGATTAGGGGATATCATATGATACAGCGAAGCAGTTACTGGGGGTCGTAAACCAACAAACATTTTTTGCGGTCTTGACCATAATTGGTTCACCAAGGCGGCATCATGTTTTGCAAATCACTGGTGCTCTTCTCAGCCGACGGTGGTTTGTAATCTATTGTAATCAACTTAGCAACCATAATCTGTGGGACGCCCATCATTTATATAGTATTGTATAGTTTTTATATCGTATTATTTGGTATTAAATAGTATTATATAGCGTTATATAATATTATAGAGTATTATATAGTATTATATAGTATTATATAGTATTATCTAGCATTATCTGGTACAATATAGTATTATATATTATTAAATAAAATACTCTCCAGCAACGCAGCAATGATTCAGCCCAGAATCTTGATCCAGTGTATGCCCGCGTGTTGTTCAGTTCAAGCTCACTGAACTCAAAGTCATCAAAGTCGTCAAAGGGATCCAAGGCTGACCTGCAGGATGGGTCCCCAAAGATAGCTAAGTTGCCTTTTAAGTGGTTTAACTATGGTTTATGGTAGAAAGGATTATATATAGGTACTGGGGTTATAAACCAACATATAACTGGGGGGGCACCATCCTGCAGGGACTTTCCAATTTGGGGAGATTTGTCTTGGCCGATGATGGACTCAAACATGGTCTGTTTGGCAATCCACCTTTTAGTTCGAAAATTTTCCCAGCGAACTAAACCTCCTTTTGTCGGGGGTTACCCCTCGAGAAAATCAATCAGGGAGTAAATCAAGGTAAACAGTTGGATATATTTAGATTAAATCGATTCCCAGTGGTTAAATATATGGTCAAAAATGGTATAACCTCGGGTAACCGGGCAACCACTTCCCAGCCCCACGATGTTCCTCCAAACAAAGGACACTGAGGTCATGGAGGCAGGATTCATCTTGCCCGTTCGGGTATGTTTCTGTATTTACCGAGGTCGGCCAACAATGGGGTAAGTAAATTCTACAACAACCGCTATAAGCTGCTAGCTCTGTTTTGAACCAACGCTATGGAAGAGTAAGATGATGTATGGAACACAGGGTTTTACTGCAGGAGTTTTTACACCCCCCTCAGAGGAGCTGGGCTACAGCGAGACTGTACATATATTTCGCTCGCCCTTGCGGGTGGCCGGTTTGTGCTTATATGGTTTTAAGTCTACTTATTTGCGGTATATACAAGCCCTTGAAAAAACGCTCAAGCCTGAAAACCCTCTTCGCAGTGCAAGGGAAGGCACATTCCCATGCCACATCTCGCAAAATGCTACATCATCTACATCTAGCGACGCCACAGGATCGACCGCCAGCCCCATCCCTGTAGTACCACGCTCCCTGCCACCAGCTTCACTCACGACGAGCACTATAATGATCCCGATTGTAGCTCCACGACTGTTGCCGCGAAGCTTCAGGGCGACCTGAGCTGGATGCCTTTGCCGATGGTGTTGGCTCTGGCTCCAAAAATGGTCTTGGGCTGCTTTTGGGTGTCGGGGGCAATTCCGGTTCGAGGAATGGCCTGGCACTGGATGAGGCTTCCACTCGCGTGGAGCTTGTTGCGGCGCCTGCTGCTTTCTGCGCATCTTCTTCGGCTTTGCGCTTCTTTGCAAGCTGGCTTTGCTTCTCCTTTCGCTCGATGTTCTTGAGCACCAACGGACGGTTCCTGTCATAAAGGTTTTCCAAGAAAGTCTCAATGTCATCCACAGGAACTGACACGACTTCCGTCCATGGGAGAAGCTGCCGATGAGAACGATCCTTTTTGACATATTGGTTGAGCTGGACGACTTTTCCGTCAGGACGTACCAGGATGGTTTTCCACTTGCTGCCGGCCAAACGAAGCCTTGATCTACACACCGTTCAGCTGGGGTCTGGTCCAACACGTATGGCTGTACAGGATCCGGAAATGCAGACAACTTGACGCCTGCCACTTCATTCAGGAGCCATTCGCTGCTATCAGCGAGATCGGATGCTCAGCAGCTCTGCAGTTCTGGGCGTTGATATCCATGCAGCATACCTTTGGAAACGAGGTCAGATTCACTACCAGAATCGACTAACCAACTGACACCGGCCTTTGGCGCGGCTGTGGCAATCGATGGAAGCCGGCCAACCTCTCTGACTGCTTTGGGACCGCTGACAAATCTGCATTCTTTACACGTGATGTCACCAGTGTCATCATTCCCACAACAAAACCCACAACTTGGTGCGACATCGGAATCCTGATGAAGCTTCACAGTTTCCTGGAGCTGACGTGCTCTCACTTGCGCTTCATGCTGTTCAATTTTGGACGAGACAGGAAGGTCATCGGATGTTCTGTACACAGTTGAGAACTCTCTTGGACGATGTCTGACGGGGACTTGACGACCGACTGCATTCACTTCGAACACTCGAGGATTTCTATGGAATCAGACGCGCTTCATGCCCACACTGGACCCATCAGAGCTCGAGGTTACCCTCGGCTGTTTCTTTGCAATGCATGCAACTTTGGATTGGGGCCCATCAGACATGGTGCGGCGTTCGAGTCCTTCCCCTTCTTCTTTGGAGCTGGGGAGTTAGTCCTCTTCGTATCCTTAGTGGCGGCTGCAGCTTTGTCATCATGCTTGTAAAAGCACTCGTCACCGCGTCTGCATTTGCCTCGGGCATGATAAATACATGGGGTCTTTGCCATTTCTTCTTTTGGCATGCTTTTCCCCTTATCATCTTTCTTACCTTTTGAGAGTGAGCGACTCTTTTTGGGTGATTGAGTGCGTGCTTTGTCATCCTCTATTGGGATTGCCACATATTGCCACGACCATCGCCTTTGGCGGGCGCAGCTTTTGCATCCTCAGGACCACCGGCCTTGTTCTTCTCGGCAGTGCGATTGCGGTTTTCCCTGAGCCGTTCCCTGTCAATCAGGTTCTTCATGGACTGATGGAGAAAACCATATGACGTCTCATAGGCCTTTTCACTGGCACGATCAAAAACCTCAATGTAATATTTCAGCAACTGACTCGGACGAATCTGCCTTAAAAGGATGTCTCTAAGTACAGCATCTTCGGGGCTAGTTGCCATACCTGCTAACGTGGCATCCCACTTGTTGACACATCTTCTCAAGTCCTGGACTGTGTCACCTACTTTGACAACACCCAACAGATCTTCAACTCTGTCGAGGCTACCGGCTTCTTCAGATGTTTTGAAGTAGTCCTCAAACATGAGCAAAACATATCCACCCCTCACTTGGATACCTTTTCGGGATTGCTGCTCTTTGTAGTTCAGTATCCTAGTAGCAAGATCTCCACCGGCTGAGCGCGTGAGCACTGCTGATAGCTTTGTATCCAGCGTGAGAAACTTACCTGGATCTTGAAGCTTTTCCTCAAGCTTTTCACGGGTGCAAGACTGATCATACACCACGTTTAGCCATGCCCAAGCTTCATCTGGACGGAACAGCTCTTGACTTCATCCCTTACATGGTTCTTCCAATTTCGATACGACTCCCGTGCAGGCATGTTATTCAACTTGATGACTTCAGCTTCTTTGGTCTTTGGCTCATCCTTTTCATCCCTTTGGGTTAAGGCTTTCACCAATTCTACAAGGTCTGAAGCTCCCATCATCTGTTGTTGCTTACCTACACTTTTCGGAGAATCGTTTGGGGGTGTTCTGATTGGCTCGATCGGAGTATAGCACCCAGATTGTTGCATCGGCAGATGAGGCTTGTCGTTGCCGACAGCTGGCTTGGCTTCGTTGCTTCCTCTAAGCAATTGATCGAGCTTTGCCTTTGCCTCTTGTGCCAACACTGCGGGCGTCTTGACCTCAACGATTGGGCCACCTTCGACCTTACTGGCGGATGCTTCGGGTGCTCTTGGAGTACTTATGTCGAACGTTGGCACACCAGTATTGGCGGCTGGGTCAGCAATCGGGACGGATGCATTCGCTGGCGCGGCTGATCGCGCTTTGGCGACGAGACTAAGCTGCTCTTGCAAATCATCTATCTGGTCCTGAAGGCTAAGATTCTGAGCTGCTGCTTCATTCAGTCTGTCTGACGTTTCCCGTTTGTAGTTTTCAAACTCTACTTTCAAATGAACATTACGGGCTTGCTCTACAGCAATCTGATCATCACACTGTTTCTTTTCCCAAACTTCAGCATTCTTTGCATGTTCAACAGTCTGTGCATACGAGGCTTCAAAGTCTCTAGTGATACGTTGCCACTCTTCCTCAATTTTGAGGTCGTGCTTGGCATTCGCCTCTGCCCTGAACTCCTCTACCTTGGCATCATGTGCTGCCTGAGCCTGATTCAACCTGACCTCAAATTCATCACCTCGCTTACGTGCCTCGGCTAGTGCAGCTGGAGCTTTTGTCTCTTCTTCTTGCAACTTCTGTTCATGCTCTTGTTCCTTTTGGACGAGCTTGTTGGACCACATGTCTTCGATAGTCTCTACAACTCCTTGCATGATCTGAAGGTGCCTTTGTTCAGCTTCCCTAATTAAATACCTGTAGCGTGTTGCCACTGGTGATCTGTGCAATGTTGTTTTGTATGCACGTGAAGTAAACTACTACTGGCTGATAGATTGTGTCATCCATCGGCACGGGATTACTCCCGGCTGGGTCTGGTACAGCGACGGGTGGACCTGACCCTGGGATGGCGAGCGAGGGTGGACTACGGGAGGGGTCCCCATGGCTTTGTGGTGAGACTGCGGCTGATAACCTGTATTTACCCAGGTCAGCCAAGAATGGGGTAAATCTACAACAACCGCTAAGCTGCTAGCTCTGTTTTGAACCAACGCTATGGAAGAGTAAGATGATGTATGGAACACAGGGTTTTACTGCAGGAGTTTTTACAGTTTCAAACATGATTAGGCACTGATACCAAGAAAAATGAATACTTTCCAGTAAACTACATAACTTACATAACATATCTATGGAAATCCAAGGATTCCCCTAAATGATCTACAAATGGTGGATATTCCCCAGTGTCACTAAGGAGGCTAGTTCGCATGGTACCAGGAAAATCTCTGGCCTTAGGAGAATTCATATGGCCATGGATCTAAACCCATAGAACCCGGCAAAAAACGTCGAAAATTGAGCTGGCAAGTGGATGGGCGTACAAATATGATATGATTAGCCATCTATGGTAGCTGATATATCAATGTGATTCAATGTGTATATATATATATAATGTTTATAATACATACATGATATATATATATATATATACTATTATAATCTATTATATATATATATACGTACATATAATCATTTGGGGTTGACCTCCCTGGGATCACTATACAATCCCTACCCAGTTGGGAACCCCGCCATTTCACCCCGGCCTTGTGTCGTTGTTCCACTGCTTCAGCACGGTACCGTTCGCGGGCGCGGTCGGCGCGGTGCTGTTGCTGGCGTTGGGGGTGCCCAAACGTGCTAAGGCCACGGTCAGCAAGGAAAGGATCGAAAGGAGCCAGGCACACATCCTGCGAGGTGCAGAAACCATGGAAGAAACATGGGAAATTCATGGGAAGTTCCAGCTGATTTATGATGAGCAAGTTATGTCTCTAGGTAACTCTAACGTTAGTTTTGGACCTATGGTAGAAATATCGAATTAGTTTCATGGGTTATAAATCAAACAAACAAAACTGGCGGGGCACCACTGGGGATACCACGGGATACCTCAATCTCTGGCACTCTCGACGTCAATTCATAGGATCTTGGGATGTCCCTCCGCAGGATTCTGTTGTTTTTCTCATGAAAAAATTACCACATTCAAATGCCATAACTTGGACGTTTTGAACGTATTGCCCCACTTGTTGGACCAAGAAACAGTAGTATGTTGACCCCATACCACTATTCCATCTTGTGAACTCAAAAAATGGTCAAATGGTCAACCTTCACTGCTGTGGTTTTCGTGGAACATTCGTGCATAGTTTGACCATCCAAATTTCGCGGAGCTTCCTGGAAGCTACTGAATAATCAAATATGGCTATAGCTAGTGGTGAAAAGCTGGGTACCCTGGTGAACCATGTTTAATGTTTTGCTGGTAAATATATGATTATCTAATGAGAAATAGTATGACAGTATGACATAATAGGTATTGATCCATCCCCATATTAACAGATATTCACTATAACAACAATTTCCTTGTTTTTTCCTGCTTCCAGCCCCTGCGTAGCTCCTGATCAAGTGTAGTCTTCGTCTCGGGGGCACAACAAAATGTCTTCGGCCAAAAATGGCTGCACGGCGGGCGGGTCATCGGTAAAGTAATGGTAGATGCTCTTTGATGTGCCTAAACCTCCCAATAAGGAAATGTAAATTATGTTCTCTCTATATATTTACACTCTATAACATTGATGTATATTATACGTAAATCTGTATATATTATATATTACGATATGTATGTATATAAATATGTGTGTAATATATGTATGATATGTGTATGCATATATGTATGTATATATGTATATGTGTATGTATATATGTAAGTCAATATGTATGTATATATATATGGATATGTGTATGGATAAATGTATGGAAATATGTATGTATATGTGTATATATGTATGTATATGTGTATATGTGCATATATGTATATGTGTATATGTGTACAATATATGTATAATATATGTAAAATATATGTATAATATATGTATAATATATGTATAATATATGTAAATATATACATATATGTATAATATATGTAAAATTTATGTGTAATATATGTAAACTATATGTAAAATATATTTTAATGTATGTAAAATGTATGTACAATACATGTAAAATATGTGTCTAATATATGTATAATAGATGAATAATGTATAATATATTCATTGTAATATATGTATATGTATAATATATGTATAATATATGTATATGTATAATATATGTATATGTCTAATAAATAAATGTATACAGCACCCGACAGAATTATGGAAGAAAAAAAACGTTTCAATTTACAGGCGCCGCCTGTCTATGATAGAAAAGTTACGAGCCTTTTTTTTCCATAATTATGTTTTTTTCCATAATTCTGTCGGTGACTGTATGTCCATCGATTCGCAATTTGAATGCATTTTAAGGGGGAATATTGAATTATAGAAAATATGTGTCTAAAGATCTGGTATATGCCCCTAAGTCTTCCATTGATATACATAATATCATGTGATGTTCGCAATTTGAATGCATTTTAAGGGGGAATATTGAATTATAGAAAATATGTGTCTAAAGATCTGGTATATGCCCCTAAAGCCTGCCATTGATATACATAATATCTGGATGTTTCCTTTTGCCAAGCCACCAATTGGGTTGATACTGCATACTTGCATTTGCATACATATTTCCATAACCCCAAAAAAAAACGGGTTTGAATTGTGGATCCATGACATGTCCAACAGGTGGAGCCCCAAACATTAATTATGGAAAAAATAATTATGGAAAAAATAATTATGGAAAAACCGGTCAATCTGCCCTAGCCCCCTGATTTTACAGGAAAAATCAATTATGGAAATAATGGCCACCTCCAAGAATTATGGAAAAAAAAGGTTCGGATCACTTCCGGGATATTTTGAACCCTTATGGGGAAAAATCCAATTATGGAAAAATCGGACGCAGGCGCCGCCTGTCCAAGTTGAACGTTTTTTTTTCCATAATTCTGTCGGTTACCATAATACATGTCAAATATGTGTCCAATGTATGTAAAATAGATGTATGATGTATGTTTAATATATGTATTATAATATATGTACATGTATAATATATGTACATGTATAGTATATGTACATGTATAAAATATGTACATGTATAATATATGTATATGTATATGTATAATATGTGTACATGTATAATATATGTATATGCATAATATATGTAAATGTATAATATATGTAAATGTATAATATATGTATAATATATGTATATGTATAATATATGTAAATGTATAATATATGTATAATATATGTATATGTATAATATATGTAATATATGTAATATATGTATAATATATGTATAATATATGTATATGTATAATAAATGTATATGTATAATACATATATACATATATGTATAATATATGTATAATATATGTATAATTTATGTATAATATATGTATAAAATTTATGTAAAATATATGTACATGTATAATATATGTACATGTATAATATATGTACATGTATGGCATATGTACATGTATAATATATGTATATGTATAATATATGTATATGTATCATATATGTATATGTATTATATATATATATATGTATAATTTATGTAAATGTATAATATATGTATATGCATAATATATGTACATGTATAATATGTGTGCATGTATAAAATATGTACATGTATAATATATGTACATGTATAATATATGTATAAATCGATAAATAGATAGATTCTCTATTCATGGTGGATTTCCCATTGGTCAAAATCAAGTGAAGCAACCCGCACCTGACACGATGAGAAGCTGGCAGCCCTGGCGTGCAGGGATCATCCCAGTGAAATGCTACGTACGGTGGTGCTTCCCAGTGAAATGGGGATTAATTAATGGTGATGATTCTAGCCCCCATAGCTAGCTTGGTTTATGTAATTTATGTATGTTGGATATACCTCCTATGGAAACTAAATTAGATATATCTGTCAAAAGAATGTACCCGCACTTATTGAACTTCTGTAGGAACCAACTCTTCGCGATGAATCGCTCACTGGTGCAGAATCGTACGTAGATGAGGTAGCTACCTTGAGAAAAAACAATCGCATAATTTAAGTAGGCGACACTGAAGGATTGCCATCATAGACACTCAGGGACATGTTGATTAAAGACATGGAATGTCGGAACTGCAAAAAATCGAATGATTTTGAATCCATGTTTCCAAGTGTGATGTTTGGTATCCTTATTCCACTATGGGAATCCTGGATGTTTAACGAGCATCCCCACGAATGACGCTCCACCAAATCTGTCGCACTCCCAGCCTCGCGGAAAACAAGAGACATTCCATGACATTCCTGTAGGGAAGGAACCTATAGGAACCTAAGAAAAGTGTCTCCAAGTTCAAAAATCCATTTAAAAAAATACCTACTAAGATCTACTAAGTACTATTACATCATTGGTAAGACATGATTCTCTATGTCCAATCCAGTCTAGCAAAATAATTCTCGAGCTAAAAGACGGCGTCGCAACAAGTCGCGACGAGGCGAAAACGACTGCCGTGATCATCAGCAGCAACAACTGAGAAACAAAGATGTATAAATAGCTGTAGCTGATATAATCAACTTGTAACATCTTATAACTGGTATTTGATGAGACAACTTTTAAATGATATTTGATGATACAACTTTTAACTGATATTTTAAGTTTAACTGACATAAGCAAATACAAGCAGCACTTGTAAGGTGTTGATCATAACCACTTGTGAACCAACAGCCATCAGTCTATCCACAACCAAGAAACGGTGGGAATGATGGGGACCCCTCGGCTCCCCGGGAAAATGGATACAATACCGGGCCGTAGCTCCAAAGCGTTCCCAGCTAACTACATCTGAATCTAAATATGTTTATGGCATTTTATGGCGTCTTAAATGTATAAACTGGTATTTTAGACATTCGGGAAGGTTTTTCTTGGGCCCGGCAATTCAAACACACGGAATCCAATTTTCATGACTATATACATTTAAATATAAGGATGGAACTGGTGCTTCATACTACCTCCGGTGCCTTTTAGTCTGGCCCGCCCTCCACATATTTAAATGTCGTTACCGTACGATGTTTGTCGGCATGACCCTCCAAGTTGTGTTGCTTCACTGCTTTTGGTTCCTTTGCTGCCTTCTCCAGCCTAGCTTTCGCAAGCTGTCGCGTCAAGTTGGTTCCAATGTTCAGGCCAGTATAGTTCAGACCACATTAATTTCCCAAGCCAACCCACAGATTTCATCACAAACTTCCTAGGCCAAAGTACCAGTTGGTAAATTTCATGTCGGCCATGTTAATCCATTGCTGTCCTTTTCAACTCGGAAAGTGCTGATTGCCGCACCCAACTAGGAGGAATACCGTCTAAGTGTGGAATGAATGCCAACAGCCAATAGCCCTTAAACACCAAGTAACTAGCCTGCTGGAAATTTTCCTTGAAATCCCCTGAAATATAGAATTGTAGATGGTTTTTCCTAGATTTTCCCATGAACAAAAGTTGATCGTTCTCCTTTTTCCAGCTTATTATAATCTTATTCGAATAAAAAACTAGTGATTTCCGATCGCAGTGGAGGCTTATCCCAGTGATGTCTGATTCCATAGATCCACCACATGGATTTGCAATGAATTGCTCCTCGAGAAATGCGTAAAACCACCAAGATTCAGTCACCATGAAGGGTTAGGTTCCCGGGGGATTTTCTTTTTTTAACTCTGAATCCCATTCTTGGATTTGGTTTGACTCTTACTCAACTGGCAAGTGTAAAAACTACTCACCCAGGTCACATTTGTGGAATATGTTATTCAGTTATTCCCTGTATTCAGCACCCAGGAATTTTGTCCAACTGGATCCAACTTGGCTTTCGATCCAGGTTGCCTTTGGCACCGGCGGAACGACTAGTGGGATCCACAAAAAGGCTGTGAAGCGCTCAGAAATTCTGCAACCATCATCAGAACAACTTTAAAACATAAAAAAAACAACATACAATTCATAGATTCAATAGATGAATATGCGTTATAATCATATTTGAATTCCCTCAGAGTTCCTGTCTTGCCTAAAACAAACCTGTATCATCTTTGATGTGACCTGTCTAAACTATCCCACTCACCAACTGACTGGGGGTAATGAACATCCCATCGCGGGGTATACCAAGTCTCATAAACCTCAAATTTGGGGATGGTGACTATGCCATTGGATTTATCACATTCATTATTTGTTGCGCAGCTTAACGGAACTTCACCGTGCACATGCGAATCCTCTCGGCGACCAATAGGCTTTGGGAAGCATCGGCAGCGGCTCAGACATGGGTGGCTTGAAGTCTTGGATGAACGGCAAGGCTTGCGCAGGCACCGTGTAGTTGTAGCGCCCAAGTCCTGCGTCAGTGGTGGTTTTCCAGTGAGCGATTCAGCAACGATTTGATGGGGATTTACAGTTGATGGATATTAGTTGGTGTCGACATAACTCCAGTAACTATTAGGTTAGGTTTCTCGATCAAGGCGGTTATATATAAAGCAGAAGAAACCCAACATGGTTTGCGAAAACCATCCCGACGACTTAGCAGAATGAATTCTAGTGTGGTAAATCGAACTAAATTAGACACCTATTGGTGTATGGATTTAATACTCCCCTAATGATAATTTGTTTACATAAGGGTATCTTACGGATGGGCTAAGAGTTTGGTGTTTACCAAACTATCAGGATGTATTTATGGATGTCTTGCTGATTCGCGCGAGATTTCACATTGAGGGCCTTGAGTTTCTCATCTGTTGCCCCAATGTCCCCAATTTTCAGGTCCGATCATTTCCATACAAGGTGACAGCCCAGGTCAGTAGCTAAGGTGGTTTATTGAGCCAGGTTTAAGTGTGAGTTTATCTTTATGGTAGATATATCTACAATTCATAGGGGTTATAAACCAACAAACACAACTCAAGGGCACCAGCTTGTACGAAAACGTACCACATCTCCCATGGATGAAAGGGTTGTCATACTGAGGCCATTGGGTGCACTGGGTCGCTGGCTTAGTTCACAAGAGAATTCATAAAGGAAATCATGTTTTCTATTTCCGGTAACCATGGAAGTTTCCTGGTTTATGTTTGTTTCAACCAACTTGGTGACTTCAGAACCTTTGGAAGATTTGATCAATATCCATGTGACATGGTCAAAACAAGGTAAGTACAGGGGTTCTGGTCATCTTACCACTTGTTTTGGCCATTGTAATTCTCGTTCTTAATGGTAGCATGACCCGCATAGGTATAGACTTTTATCACACTTCATACAATCCAACTGTTGCCATCTTTTTCCCATTGCTAGGCAGTGCCCCATGTGCCCCAGTTTGTGAGCTAAGTGGGTATATAACTCCAATAACTAGGGTTTCTGGTAGATATGTTTATAGTATTTTATAGTGCCCTTCCGGTAATCAAACGTGGCAATGGAAACCCGATACTATCAATGGGCCACACGTTCTTTTGCCACGTTTGATTACCCAAAAGTAATGGGGATCATCAACTTATACACCATTAAAAACAACGGTCACCACCTTGGATGAAATCACATCGATTCGGTCTCTGGCCTACGGGATGTTTCGCTGACCGCTGGGGCAACGGCCCATCCTCAGGGCGACTGAGGGGTCTGGGGTCCGCTGGAAATGTCGGAGATATCCTGCGGAAATGTAGGAAATATAAAGGATGTATGTAGTCAGCTGACATTGAGAATATGCTGGGAGTTTTCCAAACTAGGTTCTTAGTGCTGCTGTGGTGAGTTTTTCCAATAAATTTCATATATATATCTTCTTGATGCTACAGTACTAACTTGCTTCAAGATCTTGGCAGCTCAGGAGTCCCATAAAACCAGGCACGTTTCGCCTCAGTGCACCAAGCCACAGGCAACCGGCCATACTTCTTTCGCAAGGCATGCGCCTGTCGAGGACTGGGAAATTTGGGGCATCAATGGTGAACGCAGTGAACGTAAATGTTGTGCAGGTTGTGCAGTTGCATCTCTCTTGCGGAGCCATATTACACCAACGGCTGGTGAATATGTTTGTCTATGTGTTTGGCTTTTTAGTTGGGGGATTTGGCAATACTATAAGTGATTTTGGACGACAAGCATAACAACTGGAAAAAGCCACCCCAGTTGCGCGTCATCGTTTATTTTACATCATCTCATCTAGCTGGTTCGATGATATTCACCATACATCCAGCAGTCTTTCTAGTTAGAAACGAACTTACCTATCTAGGAGGCCTCTGCCTGTGTGCTTAGTTCGCAATTGTGAACGGAATATAAGCTGGTGAATGAACAATAATAAGATATATATATTATTATAAATAAGATATAATAAAATGTGATTTTCTACAATAAAATATTATAAAATATAATAAGATATAAGATATAATAAAATGTGATATGGTATAATAAGATATAATAAAATATAATAAGATATAAGATATAATAAGATGTAATATGGTATGATAAGATATAATAAGATATAATAATATATTAATATATAATAAGATACAATAATATATGCTAAGATACAACAAAATATAATAAGATATAATAATATATAATAAGATATAATAAGATATAATAAGATATAATAAGATATAATAAGATATATGTATATATATAATGATATATAATAATATATATATATGTATAATGATATATATATATAATGAGATAGAATGAGATAGGATGAGATATAATGAGCATACTGAACTGGGATTTCAACAAGCTGTGGCTATGAAATGAGGGGGGTCAAAACCCATCGTAGCTTTCATCATTTCCGTGATCCCATGGGTATTGATCCAGTTGATGTCCAGTTGTTGTTTAAAATGATGAACTACACATTGCAGTTTCATGTTTTTCATGGAAAAAAACCTCTGGTAATCTCATCTGGCAAACTCTGGATGAATTATGATGAATGATATGAAGCACTGACCTGAAAGTAGCCGAAATAAAGGCCATTTGGGTATGGTTTCCCATATATAAACCCATCATGCCAGTGATGTCACAGTGAGGTCATAATAATTCATCCAGACTTGTAGATGCTATGCTTATTTACTGCAAAAAGAAACATTGCCCCACAAGCCAGCTTTACCAACGACTTCCCGTGGCATCTGATTCTCCCACCCCAAAGACTGCCCCAACTCTGATCATTAAAGCAACAACGATCATATGCCAAATCGCAGACATAACTCTCGTCACTTTCAGAAGCCATGTATATATCAACACCATATATTGTTCAGCTGATTCATGGTTTCTTGGATTAAAGAAATCCCCATGGTATCTTGCAGCAAAATCCCCAAGTATCTTTGCTAAACTCACAAATGTAAAATTGGCAATGAAATCTGGGCCGTCCGAAAGCTTGATGTTCAAACACGACTTTTCCTCCACTGCACTAAAATTTAAGCGTTTGACTGAAAATGGGCATGGGGTTCTCCGTATCAGCTTCCCTGGCTATGTCACGATATGTCATGGCTATTTGGAAGGTATACTGCACCATTTTGAGACAGCCAAGTAGTTATGGTTGGTGAAAAATCATGAAAAATCCCATTAAACCCCCATCAAATCCCATATATCATATACACCATTAAATCCCCATGAAATCCCCATTGAATCCTGAAATTCCGAGAAACTTAACGGCACCTTCATCGCCTTCCTCAAGTCAGGGCAACTTTCCTCCGTCGTTTGCCGTGAAAAAAAATGTCATTTGTAGAAAACAGTGGTGATATAATGGTAATATTTATTGGAGAAAATACTGAAAGATTATGATAAACTGGGTGAACATGTTGAAAATACTGAAAAATGAGTTCATTTCGCCAACAATGGCGATATACTCGGGATATGTGTTTTTCATGCCTTTCCCCTATCAATAAGCAACCATATGATCTGAATGGGTTTATCTGTAAATGGGGTATACCCCTCCAATGGCCAGGCAGTGGATAGAATGGGATACCCGATTTTCAGACAAGCCCATGGAGGACGAATCCAGAGAATCCAAGGTTGGAAACTGGGGAGGGATGGAAAAAATGGGTCAGTGATGTGCAAAATGTTCATCTGCTGGTTGCAATCCCATTGCTGGGTACCTCACAAAATCCACTGGTCACGCTGATCACAAAATCCCTATCATTTGATTTACAGAAAGGCACGCGTTTTGGAAGGTCCCCATTTTTCCACGTTTTTAGGAATGCAGTGTTTCTACTACATCATGTTTGATCATTTATGCTCATATACCTGTAATTAGATAATGTTACTCTATGTTATGAAAGGATCAACATGAAGAACCTTGAATACATTGGAAACCACTTTAAAGCTATTGCTAGAGATCCACAAATATTGTTGGACTTCCACAGAGGTTGCCAGAGATTTCCAGAGAGCCTTAAAGATCCCCAGGGAAAAGGAAGGAAGGAGAAAAAAACACAATAAATAAATAAATAAATACATAAATAAAATTATATATATATGTATAATTATATACATATACTTATACATATATACATATACATATATATATACATATGTATACATACATATATATATATACATACACATATATATATACACATATATATATACATACATATAAAAGTTTTAACCAGTATGCAAGCTTCTTGTCACAAGTGTGCAGTACATGTACAGTAGAAATGGCAGCTTCACACATATACTCATATCTAAAGGGTTCCTTGTGTCCTTGTGGTATGACATGAGCAATACAGTTTTTTGAACGTGCCATAGCCATTTGCTGTGTCAACACATCCAAGTTGCATATGCACTTAGAATGCAACTATGTTATATATACAAACACGCTTTTCTTATAGAGTACATACAGTTATGGAATGGGTGGCATATAAGTCGCCTGTGCCCTTACAGACACAAGTTTGGGACACCGTTTTTGCATATGCAGTGGTATTCTTCTAGATTTTAATGCAGTGACAGCTCTTTGCTTAAAATACTTGTTGATCACAAGAGTTGACAAAATCCAAGGGCACTTCCATGTCCCCCTTGCTTCAGAAGGAGCGGTTTTTTCCCCTGCATATTCCATAGTAATTTGCTGTGTCAATGCAGATATAATGGCAGACATTCTATTACCATGGCTGTTTGGTAAGGAATGTACTCATGACTGTGGGTAAAACTTAAACTATGTCAGTATAAGCTCATCATGGTAACCAAAAGGACACAAGACCATGTGCAAGAAGCACCTAAGCAACCTTACCAAACAATTGTATCTATAGAATGGCTGCCTTGCTTGTGCAGCGATGGAGCAAATCACAATGAAGTATGCAAAAAATATTGCAATTACTTGGGCAGGGACAGTAACTTGGAATCTGTACTGTCATTTGCTATAAGAGTTCCACTGGAACTTTCGTGTCAACCAAAAGTTGACCTGGCACTGCAATCTCAAAGACCACCAATGCAAATACATAGTGCTATATATACAAACATACATATGTATGTGTATATATATAATATATATATATGTACACCATCTTTGCAGTACCTGTATACCTAAGTAGTACCCATACATTAATACATACATCGAAGGTCTGCGCCAAGGTACTTTCTCGTTTGTGGTCTTGCTCAGGTCAAGTGTCTGTCTCAAGGATCGACGACGAAATACGACGAAGAGGAAAAACGAGCAAAAGGGTTTCAAGGGTTCCTCTACGGGACCTCCGGGGGAAGAAATTCCAAGGGTTCCTCTCCAGGACCTCCGGGGAGAAAAAATAAAAATAAAAATAATTAAAAAATTAAGACGGGCACATACCATTGAGAAAAACACATAGCATGTTTTATGCATATTTGCAATGTTCGGTCGCAAGTGTTCTTCCCCGGGGTATGGGTTTGTCTCCGGGATTTTATTTTATTTTTTTATTTTTTTGGCAGCCTTGAGCGCGAACCTTCACTGTGGGAAAACACTTGGCCTTGAGAAATCCTTCGAACATGGGAAAGTTTTCCAGGAACACGGGTGGGAAACAAGGACCTTTGAGGAGGGGAAAAAGAAAGCACCTTTGATACAGGGAGGAGGGTTGAGACAGGCACATACGAGTACCATTGAGAAGGTAGAAAACCCTTCATCCAGACTTTTGAATACATGAAGTACCAACTGATACAATGAATATCCTATCTTTCAAGACATTTTTGGGCAAAGAACTTTGGCACGCGTATACCAAGACCACCTATCAAAACCAATGGAGCTACAGAAAGCAAGCAGTCAAAAATAGAGTTAAGGATGAACACACCAAAAACAGCACACCTCATCTCCCAAGAACTTTGATCTTTCATATGATCAAAGATGTAGAAAAAACATTTGAGCGATCGGCAAAACTTCAATTGAAAAATGCGATCTCGGGGCAAAGTTATCGCTTTTGGGACTTCACTATATCGTTTTACAGTATATCCTGATTGCATCATCCGCATCCCCTGGCAAACTGCATGCGGAAAGCCTTTTTACACCTCCACTTCGCGTCTTGGGCATCTTTGACTGCCCTGCGCTTTCTTTTCCAGCGCTTCAACTGTGTGGTGGGTGTGGTGTGATACCTGCCAACGCAACTGCAAATCACAGTTGCACCATCCTTTCTCCAGCTCAGAAACAAGTTTTGAATTCAGTTTGTTGGAGGAAACCCGGGTGAGCTCTCGCAGCGACATGCTCCATGCCTTTCATTCACTCGCCAGCGTCTGCGCAGCAAACCATCGACCTGGTCCAACGCCTTTGCCTTGGCTATCTTCATCTAGGATAAAGATCGTCAAACCGGACCTGCAGGTGCAGTTGTGCCTGAGATGAACCGGGATTGACTAAAGCAGTGGAGCGCTGCAAAAGAATATGCATAGCAGCGAAAAGATCGCAATGAGCAAGTGATAATATTAAACGGCAAAGGTCTCAAGAATCTTTTGGCATCTGGGCCATCCATCAGCGAAGGACATTTTGTCAAGAAATGGTTATCGTTTAGTTACCGTTTTCGTTATCGTTCAAAGAGGGAAACATTTTTGGGAAAATGGCATGAACCAAGGAAAGTTGGAAAGGATACCTGTTGTCATCGTCACTGCTTGCATGAAAGCGCGGAACTCATCCGAAAGGCTTGAACAATGGCGAGACAAAAAGAGCATCCAAATCCAGCTAGTTACTACATAACAATACGTGATTCAGTGATTGGATACAAATAAAGAAATTGGCCTAGATCAAGAGTGTCAGCATACTTTTGCACATCTTCCGTAGTGTGAGCTGGGCATGACGTGTACCCCACAACTGAGAGCCTAGATGATCTACATGCTTATAGAACAGGTATCCACCATCATGTCATGTACACAACCCCTTCACTTCCCACAATGCTTTTACATATAATATGATTCCCAGGTTATCGTTTTTGGGACTTCACTACATCGTTTTACATATCAAGATGCATATTTTTACATACGAGAGCGCTCGAATACATACCTCCTACACGAAGAGTTTAGCCTCTTGCTCATGTGTTTTTGTTAAAGAAAAAGCCAAAAACCAGGTATTTTTGGGGACCTGGTGGTGTTACACTCTCTTGATTTAAGTGTCAGAAATGAAGGATACCCTGTGGTAATTTGATATAGTTGTGGAAAATCATTATCATGTGTGTATCCTGAATCCTCTATAAATGTACCAACATCGCAAACTGTTAAATTGCCAGAGACTATATATACTACATTACCGGAATTACTCATACATGGCTCCCAACTTCTTGCACGGCAAGACCATTGATGCTGAAGACGCATGAATCACTCTGGAGGAAATCCAACTTAACCACCATGTTTGTGGGATAGAAATGGTTCATGGTAGTCAACAAAAAAAAACTTTTGGCTGGTTGGCTGGTGATTTTATTCATGTACCAAAAAAAAATGAAGGATTAAACTAGCTACCCTCTGGTAAACATACCAAAAAACCATGGAAAATCACCATTTTGGATTTCTATGGGCCATGGCTTCGCAAACGACCAGAGGCTATCCAGATGAATCACCATGAATCCCTCACGGCACATAGGTAGAAATAGCTATAGTCCTATGGCTGGTTGAAGTCCCCATTATATCCTTGTGTATATATATATTATATCATGATATATATATACATACACATGATTTGACACATAATAAAGAAATATCCCCATCATTCAAACCTTTGCCCATCATATTTCCCAGTGAAACACCGCCTCCATTTCTATCGCCGACGGTGACGGCATGGACAGGCTACGGGCCAAAGCCTAGGCGTCATGTGGATCTTAGGGAGTTTATGTAAAGATAATATGGAAATCATGGAAATCATGTAGTTCACTTTAATGGATTTGATATGAATTGATATGGATTTTATTGTTTTTTGATGAGATAAATGGAGATCATCTAGTGGATTTTCGATGGAGTTTTCTGGATATCTTTTGTTTTTTTCATGTTCAATGGATTTGATCAGCTAGAAATGGGGGCAAGTCCTTCACCGACGAAAACTTGGGAAACGTCTTCAGAGCGATTTTCGTGGCTTGTGGTCATCCCATCATTGGTCCATTGGTAAAGCAACGGAGCTCGGAGAAAAACCACCCAGATATTTACTGTAGATTGGCAAACCAAAACTGAGATATAAATCAATGTGTGTGTCATCAACAAGAACTGCCCAGAATTTCACAGAAACTGAAGATGTTGCAGTCTGAACTAAACATAACATAACATAACCATCTTAGGATTTTTCACACAAGAAAACGGGGAAATTTACCTGACTGAATTGTTGGATTTCAATAACAACAGGGAGGTTGACCAGCAGTTTTGGGGATGTTAGTGAACCATAATGAAGCACTAAACAAACATTTCCCACTTCATTATGGTCGACTAACATTATGGTTAATATCCCACTTCAATCATGTTGGAAAAATGTTGGCAGCATCTTTTTTTTGCTTTCGATAACACCCACCATGTAGCCACGGGGATGAAGATGAATCAGCACTATCAACTGTGGCAGGATCCACCATTTTCTGGGTGAAGTCTATGGTGCTTGATCAAAATCAGCTACAAAACATATATAAAAGACAATCCTTTGCGTTGCACACAGCCCATCTCTGTGGCTGAAAAAAATCAGCCAGTGTCCTCCAGCAATGTATTTTGACGATTTTTCACGAAATTGCCAATCAATTTTTGGGTTCAGTCCCCCCCAATTTTTGTTGGTTACGACTGTGTAACGGTTGACAACTGCACCAAATGATATTGGAACGCAGGTGAAGTCCCCAAAAATTGGAATGGATCACTCCGGAGAGAAAACTCGAGTATGACATCAACATGGTTGTTGTGTACGCTGGTTTTATATGGTTTTATTTATATCCCAATGACTCTAGTTAGTATCACAACTGTTGGTTGGTTTGCGCTTGCGTCATCATTTTGAGGTTGATTTCAATCCGAAAAAGAAACCTCGTGTCCATCCCAACCTAAATCGAAGAGACTAGTCAGCACACTATGTGGTCATTGAACAGTTTATGGAAATGGAAATTCACCATTAAGAACGCCAAAAATCATTCTAAATCATTGTTAAGTAAATGGGCCATGACTTCTTCGCAAACTTCCAACATCGAGGTCCTACAGGGCATGCTAAAACCATATCAATTTTTGCCGAAAACCACTGAATATGTTTTTGCTAAATATCTGCTGCATCATTTCCCATGCTAACGACCATTATGGATTTGGTTTAACGGCCATTCGCCACAGATTGCCACCACCATTGCCACCAAGGAACTCTTTGCTTCAATGTGGTCCCATCCCATCTTGGCCTCGGGAGGCCACGCTTCTCGGTGAAGTTCAAAGATTAATATGTTTACATGTGGGTACAGTTGAAATCAGAATATAGTAATATAATTATGTATATATATATATATATATATTTGTAGTATATGTATGATATGTAAATATATATATATATATATACACGATATGTCCATATATCATACTCCATATGTCGTGGTTTTCCTCTCATTTCTCCACATTTTTGGACATCCATATGACATAATTTAAATCATAATGTACTGTGATATATCACGATATATCGTAATCTATCAGAACGTATATTATGGTATATCACAATTGAAGTACAATACTTACATCAGAACACGATATCACAATATATCATCAAGTATTAAATATATATATATACACAGTGTATATATATATATATGGTCATATGTATATATATATATAGCATATGTCTTATATATGGTCATATAGTATATATATATACATATCATACATATGCTACTTATATATACATTTACATATCATTACATATCATATATATGCTGCTTATATAATACTTGATGATATATTGTGATATCGTATTCTGATGTAAGTATTGTACTTCAATTGTGATATACCATAATATACGTTCTGATAGATTACGATATATCGTGATATATCACAGTACATTATGATTTAAATTATTACATATGGATGTCCAAAAATGTGGAGAAATGAGAGGAAAACCATGAAATTTCGACCAACAAATCTTCAGCTATGTACAGCTAAGTTCCGAATTTTGGAGATCGAAACATATTTCCAGATGGTCTCCACCTGCCGTCGGTCCACCGATTCAGGTTCCCTGACCCACAAAGCCGTGGCGAACTCTCACGCATCGACGTGTTCAGTTTCTGCATCACCCAACTCCTGCTCCGGGGCTGCATTCGAGGTGATATTTATGGAAATTGATGGACATTTAGGAAATTAGGTTGTGAGGTTGGGATAGAAGCCCTACAACTGCCTAGAATACCTTAATTCTGGCATATTATTATGCAAGCATGGCCATAATGTACATGCTCAGTAAGTGGAACTGCACCCCTAACATCCCCCAACAATACACAGGACCCTCCTTCAGGATACAAACAAATTGAGCATCACAAGCCGTGACTTTCTAATGTGACGGTACAGAACAGCAAAGGCTCAAAAATGTTACTTTTACCATCAACCTACCACTCACTAGTTGGTTATCCCAGTAACAGCCATTCAATTCCTGTTTTGTGTGCCTCACATCTACTTTCACAGTTTCATTGGCAGATGATATCCTTTGTTGGTTGCTTCCAAAAGGGAAGCGTGTGGCCTGGATAGCTGAAAATTCAGGATCTGTTGAAAATCTCCAAATTGACAAATTACCAAAAATCTTTCACACAATCAACTGGTTGGTGGTTTCAACTCCTCTGAAAAATATTAGTCAGTTGGAATGATTATTCCCAATATATGGAAAAAATGTTCCAAACCACCAACCAGTCAAGGTCTGGATCTTTCAATTTTATTCTGAAACAAAAAATGCCCCCACCATGGACACACTGGATGATATCCCATCGCCCGTTCATATTCAATAGCCGAGTCACCATGGTGGTGGTTTGGGTTGGCACACATGTTTGGAACCATAGAATAGGGGTGTTCTTTTGATTTGAGGGGTCGGATTTATATAATTTATACATAGATAAACCATGATAAACTCACATTCAGAGCTACAGTCCTTTCTGCCAATAAGATCCAATAAGTGGCCTGGCTTCTGGGCTGATACGAATATAGAAATCCGAATTTCTGCTGGTCAAGTTTGTAGAATTTCTTGGGTAAATTCCCAATTTCTACTTTGTCAAAGCCATCATTCCCAGCTTCAGTTGGATTCTTCCAGATACTGCAAGTCCCTATTTTGAGGGTCATCCTACTTCGTAGGTGGTTAGTAACTAGGAGCACGGCCTTTACATGGCCGTGTGTTTTTTTGATTCATGTGATGTTGTTGATCATGTTTGATGTGCTCGTGCCAATAGGAATTCGTGTGATTTTAGTGTAAAGGCCGTGAACGCCTTAGTTCCAAGCAGTAAAAAGAAAACAGTCAGTTCACCTACACGAAACCTCCATTTTGGGTTTTATTCAAAGCCCAAAGCCCCCAACTAATTCGTTTTCACAATTCTTCAGCCGTCTTCTATTCAAGAACCTTGTAGTACAGTAGCGTAGCATGATGTATGTGTGGACGTTCAAGAGAACGTACCGTAGCGTAGCATGAAGTGTGTGTGGAAGTCCAAGAGAACGTACAGTAGCGTAGCATGATGTGTGCGTGGAAGTCCAAGAGAACGTACAGTAGCGTAGCATGACGTATGTGTGAGAGAGCCAGTGACGTTATTATCCCACCCCACCCCACCCCCCACCCCCCACCCATGAATACATGTCCCAACCGACAGCCACAGCGTAGCTTCATGTGCAAGTTCACAAAAACGTTAAAACATGCCCCACCCCACCCCACCCAACAAAACACTACTGGCTTTTGCTTGAGTCTTGATGTCAAACCTACTGGTGGACCAACCCAAACGGTTGGGGGCCAAAAAGCTCCGATCCCCGTGGTGGAGATGGAGAAAGAGATTTCAGGAAACAGTGTTTGGAGACAAGCCTGAAGGAAAATTCGGCCAAAAAGGCGCACATGAGAGGCAGGCGGAAACCTGGCCACAGGCTACAGGCTATATCGTCCCCAGAAGTTTCCATAAAATCAGCCTATCAATGAATCACTTTCAATGAAGGCAAAAATAATGGCAGTCACAAACACCACTGCCCTCTAAAGGCCGTGGTCCAACTATACTTATAACTTATAACCCATTGATGGGATAATAACCCATTTGGGGGACTTCGGATTTCCAGGGTGGCCACCTTTGATGACTTTGATGGAGGGAAAATCCCTAGTTCCTAAATCCGCACGCCGTGTGATCCTCCGATCTTGATGGGCTGGGTAGACATGTCTAGCTTGATGTTTTAAACGTTTAAAAAACCCCGATATTCTCCCAATTCGAATGGTGATTGGTTATGAAAACCCCGTGCTGATTGGTCGAAAACTCATGAAATGATATTAAATTCATTGAATTTCCGTATATTATTAAAAAATTAAAGAACATAGAGAGAATATCAAATGGTCATCTTGGAAGAATGGACCCTAGCAATCCTATGAAAGGGCCAGATCCCCAAGGGTGGCTATGATTTATCTATCATGGGCTGGAGCAACCCTGGAGCAACCCTGTTTTCATGAAAAATATATTATGGGTATATTATATTATATTTATATAATCCACTGGTAATCATAGGCAATCATTTCATCTATAACGGGTTCTTGAATCGAAGTTGGGGTCTTCTTCCCCCCCAAGCAGCAAAGTCAAGCGCTGCAGCTCCTGTTACTCTTCGAAGTGGCACACTTCGTGGTGTCCCACTGGTGACCCAAACCTCAGCAGTGAGGTCGCTACAATTCATGCAAATGATATCCATGTGACTTATAACACGTATATGATTTTAGACATGTTATCTTCACGATAGTTCATGATACGATTGATAGTAAATATGATGTATACATCAATTAGTTTCAACAAAATAAGGCATGAAATATCCCTTATCACAAGATGAAAACCAACTATGAGACAATTACATCACAATATATCACAATATAACAATAAGAACAAATTAGAGGCATGGGGATTGAAGCACCAAACGACAAAAAGTCTTCAGCAACAAAAAAACATCGTCAAATTAAACAACGGCAAGAATTGGACAAAATGGTATCTAGCTGAATTATCATCATTCACTAACCTGAAAATAGCTGAAATAAGACCCTTTGGGGATGATTCCCTATATATAAGCCATCATTCCAGTGAGGGCACAGAGAGGACATTACAATTCATCCACATGTTATAGATGGTTTCCGCATTGAAACCTCCATTTATAGTGGATATCCCTATATCTTCCCATATGTTCCTATGATTTTCATTGATTTTCCCCATTAAAACCTCCACTTAGTAATCATAAGTGAAATGAATTACATCACTGAAATACATTACTGAAATACATGTCCCTAGATTTTCCCATATTATTCATCCAGATCTACTAGTAATGTATTGCAGTGATCTTCACTGCAGGTCTTGATTTCCGTTCGATGGATGTGACCATTTTCATGTGGGCCATGTGGGGAACAAAAAGGATTTACCATCTGGTAAACTAACATAGCTATTGAAAATCGTCATTTATAGTTGATTTTGCTAGTTTCCATAGCTATGTTGGTTTACCAGATGGTACTGTATATAGATCCTAAACTTACTTTAATGCTAAGTATTCCCCAAAGATATATATATATGGAATAATGGAATATTCATGGGGACATGACATGATATGAATGGGGATGTACCCTCTGGTAGAAGTGGCAATGTATAGTTGATTTACCAATTTACCAATTTAAAATTGCGATTGTTCAAAACTATGTTAGTTTACCAGAGGTAGTTTACCAGAGGTAGTTTCCGTTAATGCTAAGTATTCCCCTTCTTCAAAGCATGGGTCCAGTTTGAATACAATGCTGGAGAACATGACCAAAAAAAGGGGGGATGCATCTCCGAAAGTCGTCTTCCACGAGTTTCCACTATATCAAAGAGTGGTTTAATATGGTTTGATTAGATTTCACAATTCAGTTCAAGTTCATAGGGGTCATTTTGCTGTTTCAAGATGTGATAAGATACCCGGTTCTATCCGAGAACATATTTATATATGATTTTTTCTGACTGGCAAAATCGGTGCTACATACTTCCAGTTGATTTGCAATCTGTTGTGCTATAACATCCTATAATTGAGGTGCCAGTGCAGGTTGCTTTCAGAAAAGGCATGACCCATTGACCAATGTCTCACTGGTATGATATACAGCTATGGAAGCCATGGCCCATGAATAGATGATACAGCTACAAAAAATGGTGATGTTCCATCGGAAACTGTTGAATTACCCGAGTGGACATCCCTATTACCAAGTATCACAGTATATCCCATGGAATATATTTTGGGCAATGCTTCATACCCCGGGTTTGTTCCTTAATCCACCTATAGTTGTGGCAACTATGTAAATTACCAACGGGGTTGAAACATACCCCTGTTTTCCCATCCTGTTTGGCGAGCAAACATTCCTAGTGGTTTAGTTCAAAATCCCGTTATAAGGCAGTTAGTATAAGCCCCAACATATACTCGTATAATTATTTCCAACTATTGTTGGCTAGATCCCATTGTAAAATGACTCCGGAGTGTGCGTTTTCAGAATATTCAGACTGGCCAATTTGATGTTTAATTCATCCCCCTTGGAAAACAAATTAAACATCAAGGTCCAATTTGAGGGTTTCACCCCCTAATAATGAACACTAGTCAACCCCGGGGTGTTTTTTTTATTGAGGTCTGCCTAATTGAGGTAGTTTTTTTAATTAATGTGGTTAATTTAATATTAGGGGAAAGCTTTGAAATCCAATTTTTGGCCATATTCTAATTAGATTCTAAAAATAATTTTGATCGATTTTGAGATCGAGAATTCTAGTTGCTTTATTTAGTTTTTTGAATTTAATGTTGCAGTAGAGGAAAGCTTCGAAATCCAATTAATTGTTGGCAATATTTCAATGTCAAGTAGATTTTAAAAAGGAATCTGATCGAATTTGAAATCAAAAATCTTAGTTTTCCATTTTAGGTGTTTATATTTGATATTAGTTGAAAGCCACAAAAATACCCCTAGAAAAACTACCCATTTGTTTTTTTTGTGGGGAGGTTTAGGGAGAAGGGATTGTATCCTCCATTTATCCTTTTGCAAATTAACTATAGCTATTGAAACCTGCTATTTATAGTTGATTTACCTATTTTCAGAAGGATGATTT